CCTCCTCCTCCTCCTCCTCCTCCTCCTCCTCCTCATCCCTCATCCTTCTTCCCAACCTGAGCCCGGTGTCACGACAGAGTCAAGAAGACCGGAGGCGGGGAGGGCACAGGTGGATGGCACGGTCGAGCCCCCACCCTGGCTTTCCACTCCACACCCACTGGTCCACACAGCAAAATATTAGGACCATTTTACCACCAAAAACAACAACAATAGCACCCCAACAGGGGCCATAGTGACGAGTATGACGGGGCAGCCATGCCCATCACCTGTGTACTTAGCGGGAACGCAAGCGCATCTACCAGCATGGTACCAGGTGTCAGGGAACTGCCGAGCGCATACTAGGCTGCGAGGGCCATGGTTTTCTGACATCGGCATAGCACGCGCTTACAGACCTTTTGACCTGGAGGAGCGACACGTGATCCTGCATATAGTCTGGGTCGTCACCTTTCAAAGTTAGGTAACCAAACAGTCTTCGAATGAGTCGTCGACTGAGGGACACTACCCATAGAGTACACACATTCTCCTCGCAAAAATGAGGATTTCACAGATCGCTCGAGAAGGAGCCGCTTCAGCCTGGCTCTCAGCCCACCGGTCCGCCACTCCACACAAACTCACACACACAAAAAACCGGACGGACTGCTTGAACTGAGTTGAGGCGTCAGTCGGCTGCCTTCCGAGCCACGGCGCTCGACGCACAGTGGCAGTCTTGGACTCCGATATCAGATGCAGCAGGGGGGCTGCATAGAGAAGAAGTCGAGACGCATGTTTCGCACTTGCGTGAGAGATGGCAGTTGGTTGTTTGAGATGAGTAAGATTCATATGCGGTGAGATGCCGGTGGGGGAGGAAGTGATGGTGTGATGCAAGCGCACGTGAGCTAGTAGACCCAGGCGGTGAATAAATGTGCGAATGCGATGTGGACAATGGAGGCGGATGCGGCGAGTGTAGGTTGGTGCTCCAGGCACTGGCTCGTCAGTCTCTGTGCGATGGATTGGCAGGTGACCGACCAGGCCGATGTGCGAGGTGAATGTGCGGGAACAGTGTGAACATGAGAGGTCGGCGGTGGTCGACACACTGTGCAATGGGGTACGGGTTGGGCTGAGCACAGTGGGTGTGCGATATACACTGAGTGTGGCGGAGCTGGCGGTGGTGGACGCACTGGTCTGTGTCGCGTGGGCGGAGTTAGGCGTGGTGGGCGTGCTGGGTGTGTAGGGCTGCGGTCAATTCCGCTCTCGCGGATACGCATGTGGCCGAATAGGACCATGCGGTGCATAAATGTGCGATGGTAGTGCGGACAGTGGTGGCGAATGCGGCGGGTGTAGGTTGGTGCCCCAGGCACCGGTTCGCCAGTCTCTGTGCGATGGATTCGCAAGTGACCGACCAGGCCGATGTGTGAGGTGAAGGTACGGTCGCAATGAGGACAGATATAGACCGAGTCCTCACCACTGTTGTCGGCAGTAGTGGTGTTGATGTGCCAGGATTGTGTGTCATGTTGACGTGCCTGGCAGACGCCACAGCGACAGACGTTCAGGCAGTGGGGGAGGAGGATGGGGAGGATGGAAGTAGGGGTTCAGGAGGGCGGTCAGAGTTAGCTGACGGCGTAGGAAGCGAGGGGGAGGTGGAAGGAGCGACGACGGTTGGTGCAGTTCAAGTGCTGCAATTGGTCTAAAGATGACCAAAAAGTCCCATTGGCGTCTAGAATGTCCGCTAACACTGTGGACACGTTGAGGGCGGTTGGGCGTTGAATTTGCGAGGTGGGCGCAGCTGAGATTTGCGTGCTTCGCGTTTGACTTTCGCGGCGTCGATGCGGTTTTCCTCGTAGATCACTCCGCCTATCTTCACAGTTCTCCTCCACGTCGGGCGGTCTCGAGCGAGGTCTTCACAGGTGGCCGGGCTGATTTGTAGACGCTTCAGGGAGGTCTTTAGAGTGCACTTGTATCGACGGAATTGGCCTCCTTGGCGGCCTTCGTTATCCATCCACACGAAGTGATCAATCCAACGCAGTTGCAGTTGTCTCAGCATGGCGTAGACGCTAAGGATTCCTGTCCACTCCAGTACTTCAGGGCCAGGGATCCAGTCCGGCCATCTCAGCCTCACTATCCGTCGAAGACAGCTGAGGTGAAAATGACTGAGTCTTCGCGCCTGCTTCTTGAACACCGTCCAGATCTCCGCTCCACACAGCAGCGTCGACAGATGATCGCCTTGTACATCTTCAGCTTGGTGTTGGGGTGGAAACCGAGGCGATTCCATGCTGTGTTTTGAAGACGACCGAAAGCTTGACTGATCCTGGAAATCCAGCGGGCCACTTAGTCGTCGATTTTGGTGCTGCTGCAGAGGGTGATGCTTAGATACGAGAATTTGTCCACCACTTGCAGTTGAGTGCCATTCACTCTGATTTGCGGCGCATTGTGGGCTGTATTGGGTTGCGGTTGATGTATAACCACCGTCTCCTTCGTGTCAATGATCAGGGCGAAGTTCTCGCAGGCTGCGGCGAACAGGTCCATACTCCTTTGTATGTCCCTTCCGAGGTGGCGTTGAGGGCTCAGTGGTCGGTGAAGAGAAGTTCGTGGACGGTAGTTATAGATACACGGGACTGGAATTGCATCCGCCGTTGCTTGAGGAGGTAGCCGTCCGTCCTGTAGGCGATGCGGATCCCGGGACGTTTGTCACGGCAGGTGTCCATCAGCATGACAGAGAACATAAGACTGAAGAGGGTGGGCTACAAGACGCATCCCTGCTTCACTCCGTCAGTTACAGCGAATGCCTCTGAGACAGCTCCGTTGTCCGTGACTCGCGCCATCATGCCATCGTGAAGTTGACGCACCAACTGAATGAGCTGCTCGGGACAGCCAAATTTCTGCATGATTTTCCACAGTCCTTCACGATTCACCGTGTCGAAGGTTTTCATCAGGTCCATGAAGGTAGAGTAGAGGTAAGTCCGCAACTCCTGACACTTCTACTGCAATTGGCGGGCGACGAAGATCATATCCGTGGTCCCACGATGACTGCGAATGCCGCACTGGCTTTCCGGTAGAAGACCCTGTTCTAGATGATTATTTAGGCAGTTGAGGAGGATGCCAGCGAAGATCTTCCCCACGATGTTCAGCAAGCAGATGCCTCAGTGGTTGTCGCAGAGCTGGCGGTTTCCTCTTCGCTTGTATAGATGCACGATTGTGGCGTCTTTGAAAGCCTGCGGGACTTTTCCTTGACGCTACACCTCCTGGAGAAGAGCAGTCAGGTGATCCACGAGTTAGGAGCCGCCGTGCTTGTAAACCTCAGCAGGGATTGCGTCCGATCCGAGTGCTTTCCCGCTGGAGAGCTGCTGCGCGGCCATGATTACTTTGTGAAGAGATGACGGTAGGTCGAGGTCCACGTTAGTCTCCACTTGCGGCAAGCGGACGATGGCGACGTCGGAGATGGTGGAGGGGCGGTTGAGGACGCCTCGGAAATGTTCGGCCCATCGCTGAAGAATTCGGTTCCTTCCGGCGAGTAGGGTACTTCTGTCGGCGCTGAGAAGCAGAGCAATTGCCTTGGATGGCGGACTGTAGGCAGCTTTGAAAGCGGAGAGGAAATTATTGCATTCGTTGTGATCTGCGTACCCTTGGATCTCCTCGGCCTTGCGAGCCGTCCAAGGGTCCTGCATTTCCCGCAGTCGCTGTTGTAGGAGGCGGCGACTGCGGTAAAAAGCAGCTCTGTTGTCGTCTGTGGGGTAGTCTAACTAGGCTTTGTGCAGGCGAGCAGGTTGCTGATAGCGACGTGGTTTTCGTCGAACCAGTCCTGGTGTTGCCGGCGTGCGCGACCGAGGACGGCCAGCGCCGTCGACTGATCTGTGTCCCGCAGTTGGCACCATCGGTTCTCCACGGAGGCGTACTCGTCGGCGGCGGCGGCAGCGACTGAAAGGTCGCCTAGCCGTTGAGCCAGTTCATTGCTGAAATGAAGATGGTGAGCGGGCAAAGACAACAAAGCAATATTCAGCCTACCTGGGGGTCGCTTACCTTGTGGTCTCCTGCGATGCTGTAGACGAATACGCATCCTCGAGGTGACGAGGCGATGGTCGGTCCACTCGTCGGCCCCCGAATCGCCTTTGTCATCAGCACGTCCCGCTGGTCTCGCCTCCGGACGAGGACATAGTCCAGCAGGTGTCACTGACGCGACCGAGGATGCCTCCAGATGGCCTTCTCTCGCTCCGACAGACAGAAGAAGTTGTTCGTCAGGATGAGGCGGTGTTCTGCGCAGGTGCGGTGGAGGAGTAGATCATTGTCGTTGGAGCCGTGGAGACCATGTGGGCCTAGCATTCCTCTCCAGGCATCATGGTCTGTGCCGACGCGGACGTTGAAGTCACCAAGGACAATCAACTTGTCCGCCTTCGACACAGACGCTAAGAGGGCGTGCAGGTCCTCGTAGAATTTGTCTCTTTCGGCGGCGTCGAGGCTGCTCATCGGCAGAGCGTAGGCGTTGATGATGGTAGCGAATTTGCC